GGATGTGTGGCCAGACAGAGTCCTGACACACTGGAAGAGTAACACAATGTTGGGCATTACCAGGTAAGCCACAACCTCATGACAATACATACAGAGCTAGCCAATAAGAAGCCCTAGTCATTGGCCAACAGTTTCAGAATTTAGTCTCTGAGTGTTCATTTGGGGCAAGGCGGCTGAGGACCAAGCTGTCGGGGTAAGGGTACTCGTAACAGGAATATTAAGGTTGTTGTTCTCTTTTAGCATTCTTTTCACAGAGATTTGGAAACATCTTTGAGGTCCAGAGCTTTTTGGAACTGTTCAATAATGGCAGTAATGCAGTAATGTTAGCTATGTTGTTGGTTGTTGCCTGAAGCCATAAACTTATCTTTTATACAAAAGGATGTTTTTAAGAAACAGAATCTCTCTATGTATCCCAGCTTGGTCTCAAACTTGCAGTTCTCCTGCCTCAGCCTCCCAAGTATTAGGTTTATAGGCATGTATTCCCACACCTTCACATAGAAGGAATTTGAAGAGAGGCTTTCCCAAGACCTTAGTGGACAGGAAGCCTGGATCAGTGATTGCTAAGAGAGGAGATCAAGAGCAAACTAGTTTTTTCTTTACTGAGCACAGTTAGGGTCAGGGCTCATCTGAAGCTTCTTTTTGGGAATTCCAAGAAACAACTAGAAGGCACTTTGAAAACATAAATGAAATCATCAAACAAGATATTATAAATATGAAGGACAGAATGACATCAGGCACTTAATAAAAATTCAGTATACATAAGCTCCTTAAGATGAATGCCCTTGATTATCAGACAGAGAACCCCTGTGCTGATAAGTCTTCTAATGCCACCTTTGCACTGAATTTGTGTGTGTGTGTGTGTGTGTGTGTGTGTGTGTGTGTGTGTGTGTGTCTGTGTGTCTGTGTGTCTGTGTGTCTTGAGCTATCTTTCATGAGTCCTCTTGTGGTTATGGTAGGTTTATTTTTTTTTCTTTAAAGATTAAATCATTTTTCCCCTTTATGTTCAACAAAGACAACAATCCTTTGGTTTTTGATAAATGTTTCTTTCCTTGTAGCAGGTGGATTTGCCAAGGGCACTAAGAGCTGTACTTTTAAAACAGAAGCCCAGCTGTTTGTATCTGCTGCATCTTTTTTCTCCTACTTTTTGCCCTGAAGGTTGGATTTTCTTTGCTTTGACAGGCTGATAACATGTGGATGGGAGAGAACAATTCTAACTAATAGACTAATTAGTGACACAAGCCTTTAATAACTGAGCATAGGAAAGTCATTCCCTACCCCCAAGTGATTAATTTATTTATTGCTGTTGTGCTGCATTAGGGTAAACTAGTCAACTTCTAGCTATTGACAACTTCAATCAATCCCTTTTCCTCATTTCCTTCCTTTCATTTGCTATAGTGTGCTCAGGCAGTATGGAAGAATGAATTCGGGTGACAGGCAGCTCTGGCAGATGTGCTAGGACCCTGATGTCACCATTTCTCACACCATTGGGAACTGTAGGAACTGTGAAAATCCAGCTACTCTAATATGCTTGCTTCTTAAAGGCCCTTTCTTTATGGACCCTTCCACCAATGGTTACAGCCTACTAGCTCTGTCTTTCAGAACCAGCCTACTATGGAGCTTATATGCATATATTGACATTCAATGACCTAGATTTCAATCCAGGCTTCCTCAGTGGCTACCTAGAGGAGATAAGACAAGTCCCTTCACTTCACTGTGCCTCAGTCAGTTTTCCCACTTGTAAAATATTGTAGAACTCTTATCATTGGGGCATGACATGGCCATTGCTATCTTGAAGTCAGAACAGCTGTAATCATTCACAATTGGCCCTCACAAGATCCGGCCTATTAACATTTCTTCCAAGAAGGTGAGTGAGGAAGGTCTAGCCATGCATTCCTGTCCCATGCCAAGCTTTGTGCAATCTTGCTCCAGCTTCATGTGGTTTTGGGAGGTGCTAGAGAATGTAGAACTTAAGTAAAGTTGTCATTTATGGTGTGGTGGGGCTTTTTGGTAATGGAGACCTTTGTGAGTCACCCATAAGTAACATGTAAGTGAACCTTCACTCATGCTCCTATATGCAAACCCAATAAACTCTGGTAAAAGCAATTCCAAGCTGAATAGATTTGCTTTTATGGCCTGTCATTGGTGTCCTATCTGGGGTAAAGATAGGTTTATTCAAGTCTCTCCAAGAAGAGTTGGGTAACAAGTGGGAATCCATTTGTTTCTCCTAAGGTTCATCTGAGGATTCAATAAAATAAGTTGTATCCAATATTTAGGGCATACTAAGCCCTCACTAGCTATTAAATGTACCTAGTATGTACAAAGATAATTTGATGAATGCTAGTAGAATAAATGAATAGCATAATTTATGAGTAAGTTATGAAACCTTGAAGTTCAAAGGGGTGAAAATAAGAAGAAAAGAATAATAAATCAAAATAATAAAGGCCTTTAGTTGAGTGCTTATCAATCAAGGTCTATGTTCTGAGCAATTTGCTTCATGTACATTCTTTCATCTAATCCCTTTGTAGCCTGAGTTTTATCAGCCTTCTTAAATCATGGTTTGTTGTTTGTTTTAAAAGACTGAAGCCACATACAAAATTATGTGAGAATTGTGTGTTCTTCCAAGATCTCCAAGGACTCCTGGGAAAAAGACAGACATATTCATGATTCCTTATGAGTTTCTGGGTCAGCTGAATTCAATGTCTTCCAACTGTTTCTGGAAGATGCTGCTATTTTTCTTTTAAGGCTTCAGAATGCAAGACCATTTTGTACAAAGATTTTTACTGAAATATATTGAAGGGGAAATTCATACATATTTTTCATAGTTCTGAATATTACTTGAAATGTTTGTAGTGAGATATTCACTCTGTCCACACCTGTTGCACTGACCACTCCCATTGGGGGTGCGGCCTGGGGGAACTAGGTGTGAGGTAGGGGACCCTGGAACACTCTCACTTACTAAACAGAGACACAGAACATCTGGAGACACCCTTGCGATGAAAACCTGCTAGCGTTCATCTGTCTCTGTTATAAGATATTTATCCCTAAGTAAACATCTATTCAGCTTATCTGTTTTTTCTGATCCTTATTATTCCACAAGAAATGTTTGTGTATGTTTGTTGGACTAAAATATTTTTGCTGTCTTTCTCCTCTGCTGGAGCTAGAAGCTCTATGAATGTCTGCTTCGTCTATCTCTAGTGCAGTCACTATACAGCGTGTACTCAATAAGACTTGTTGAATGGCTAAGTTGTGATAATAAAAAAAAAATCATTGGGCCATGAGTAGGTTTATAAGGAAATGAGTAGTATCCTATTGCACAAGATTGTTTGCCTATCCCTAGGCTTATGCCATAAAGAAACATAGGATTGATTTATCTAGAAGAGATAGAAAGGGGATAGTGTGTTTGCCCAGACTTGAGGGACAGTCATTTATCTACTTAGATGAAAAGCTGGCAAAAGAATCCATGTGAGCACCCATAATGAATGTAGATTCTCATAGCTTCCTGAGATTTTTGTTCCTAGGCTCAGGACATGCTAGGCTTTTGAATCTTGACACAGTACATAGTAGTGAAGTGATGCAAAAATGTAGTCACAAACTCGCTCTGAAACATCCCACTGGCATTGAGACACCCAACTGAAGGAACCTGGAGGCCTCTGCAGAAGAGCATTCTAAGATGAAAGGAAGCCTCACATTCACGACATCCTTCCTAAAGCCTCAGGAACTGAATTGAATATACAGTTAAAGTCCTTCCCACCATTACATTTCTATGGTTGTGTGTGCTGTGAATGAGATAAATTGTACTACACTGAAGGGTAGGGCAATATCGGAAAGAAACCGGACAAACTACTGGTGCTGAGGCTGAAGAGTAGAAACTCAGTAGGGCCAGCAGGTGGCGCCATTGCAGCATTATGATTTTCATGCCTCGAGGAAAAGAAATGCTTTAGGAAGCAAATGAGGCCTTTTAGAGTAAGCCATCCAGCCATCACAGCCACAACTCCATCTACCCCCCAGCACATATACACCTTTCCCCTAATTCCTACATCCTCAGAAACGCAGGGTAAAATGGTCCTAAGGGCCTGTTGCATCTTTTCTCCCTCTAAAGTTTCCAAGGACTCCATTCCTAGTACTTAGTACTTTCTAGTCCCCACTAACCAGGGTCAGACCCTTAACTAGTAATTCATTGCAAGACATGCTATTAAATGAGACTAACTAGACTTTTATGTTCAATCACTATCTTGCCTTTCCTCGATTCCCCCAAATAGCAACTATCTTTTGTGCAAGATCTAGCCTTGTCCCTCAGCTTCCTTAATCCTAGGGAGAAGACTCTATGAGTAAAGTTAGACAAAAGCCAGCAAGAAATGGGTTGGGGATATGTCTAGTTCTGAATAATCAACCTTTGTTTGGCCTTTAACTCACAGTGTACTGTTGGTACACTTAGGGGTTTTCCCAAAGGCCTCTGAAAACCCAGCAGCACCCACCCCTCTTCCACTTTCTGTGGCATGGGGGCAGGTCACCTGAAACTGGGTGGGCAAGTGCTTACATATGGGTGCTATATCTGGGGTTGGTGACCAGCTCCAGAATAGGCCTTACATAGTACTTCCTAGTTATACTATGAGCTGGATTAGAGGATGATCAGGTAACAAAGGCTACCTAGAATATAAATCCTTTGTTTTGTATGTTTTTCATGCAGCCATCCACATGCCCCTCTTCTCAGAATGGTGGTATTTCTGAGTACCCAACATTTCTCAACCTCCTGGAAGCCCTGTTACATTGCAGCTTGCCCTTCTCTCCACTACAGAAAGCTTCTAGTCTCTTTGCCTCCTAACATGAAGGGGAACATTTCACAAAGTCACAAGTTCTGGGCATCTAGTCTGGTACCCATGTCCCTCCCCTATCCCCATCCCTCCTTGGTTGACCTCCCCCATACTGCCACATAGTTTCCCTAGGCCTGATGTGGAAAACACCTTGCCACCTAGTACACTCAGCATGATAGAGCCACAGCACAGATTTCATCATCACTTTAATCATATTATTCTCACCCATCACTGTTTATTCAGAAAAAATCCACCCAATCCTCTCATCTCTGGAAAGTTCTTTTTTCCAGCCTCATTGAAATCAGGATCTCTATTCCTCCCCCCACCTATCCCTGAAAAAAATAAGAGAACGAGTCCTGGGTCAACCCCAGGAAAGGAGGATTATAGTCTTGAAGGGGCTTAAGCTAGGAAAGGCACAGATAGAAAGGAGTCTACCAGGGACTGAGGCCACAGCTTCCCCAGGAGTCAGAGGGTGGGAGGAGGTGTCATAGAGTTTAGAGAAAGCTAGGGGCTTCACAGAAAGAGGATTCTTCTGAAGAGCTCAGGTCAGGAGGCTTAGCTCAACTGAGTCTAGTAGTTCAAGCTACTTGGAAGCCTAAAGCAAGAGTTTAAGACCTGCCTGAACTGCACAGTTCAAGGCAAGCCTGGTCACTTACATGAAAACTTGTCTCTAAATAAGAACAGGGAGGACAGCTGAGGATTCAGCTCAATGGTAGAACACTTGCCTAATATGTGTGAAGTTTGGGGTTCAATCCCTAGCAACAAAATAAAACAAAACATAAAAAGAGGCTCAGTTCAAAGTCTAGTTCCAATGTCCTGTCTACACTGAACTAATGAGAATTTCTGTGTGGCCCTAAGATACCTGGTAAGCTGTTGTTTTAAAATATGGAGCCCAGTATCAAAATCCAGACAGAAAGTTATCCTGGCCTCTGCATTCAAGAACCAGAGACCAAGAGAAGTACTGTTTTCTGGCTGTATCCTTATATGGGAATAGATGTCAGTGAATACCTTGGTTTACCTAAAGAAGGCAAAGAATTCAGAAAGAAGAAACAGTAAAAAGCAACATTTGCTTGGAGTAAGTTGTAGCTTAGAAAAGCTAGTTTTCCCAAGAGTCCCTGTAAAGAGGCAAAAGAAGAGGAAGAAAGGATCCAAGGCAAATGTTACACAGCCACCAACATCTTGGCAGCTCCTCTAGATCTAGGTTTCTCCCCATCAAAACTTGACCCAAAGGTCAGAGTTTGGGTTCAGGGAGCTCAATGTCCAGAGGGCAGTTTATCTGTGCCCCTAAAGGTGAAGAGTCCTAGGAAGAGTCTCTAAAGTGTGTGTGATGTGAGAAGTAGGACATGAGTTGGAGGCAGCATAAGGTCAGAGGCAAAGATGCCACTTTCCTGGATACCACCCAGTTTTACCCACCCAGCCAAGTCACAGTTCTGTGTCAGCCACCACATGTTGTCTTGCTGAATGGCCGTTTCTGGAGGTGGCCTGTCCGGTCCCGTTCTCCTGAGCCCCTCGGGTCACACTGGCCTTTCCCTGAGTCTCAGGGGAGGCCCCAGGTCCTGAGCTATAGCCCTGGCCTCCACCATTCTCCGTGTAATAAGGGTCTTCACCCTGGACAGTGTAGAAATAAAGTAGCATTATCTGGTAAGTAGGTTTCTGAGATACTGTGAGGAGGGCACAAAGGAAGTAGGAGGAGGGGGCAGGTACAGCTACATGTGCAGCTCTTTTCTTCCCAACAGCCATCAAGGTTCCAGCTCCTAAAGGAGAAAGGACAGAGGAGAGGCACCATACCATGTCAATATGGCTCAACAACCAGCCCCATAAGAAACCAGTCTCAGGGATAGAAAAGCCTCCCCAGTCGATGCCAGCCATTGGCAAGAGTCAAACTTCAGGCTTGTCCCTCCCTCCATCCAGAATACTTCAAGAGCAGATATCCCTTCCATATCTCATGCTTTGGAGCACCCATAGAGCATCCAATATGTTAAAAATAAGCATATTCAATTTAACACTCTATTTTCTTTTATCCAGCTGAACTATCCAGGACAAAATGAGAAGATAACATCAGCTGTGATAAAGACTAGCAGATGGGCTTGCCCCATTTTACCCTTCTCCCCATTTGCTGCATCTTATTTCTACTCTTTTTGTAGATACAATGTCTTCATGCATGCATATCCCTATGTCAAAATATCTTTTATGATATTTCTCCCTCTCCTTTTCATATCTATGGGCCTCCCCAGAAGTTTATTATCTTCTTCATTGGATTTTCTCCATACCCCAAAACTGACCAGCCTTTCTCCTGTGGGGCTCCAACTGCGACGATTCATCAGGAAATAGCCACTGGTGCCCAAGATGGCCAGCAAGACTCCTGAGGTAACCAATGCAATCAGAGTCTTTCGGGAATAGCTCTGGTGGCTTCCAATATCTTGTTTATTGAAGCCTTGGATCCCCAGCTTAAGGGAGACACAAACAAATAGCAGCATGTCACTTGTGGAAAAGAAGTTCTAGTGAGAAGCCCAGACCACTTCATATCCCTGATGCAGACTGTTAGAGGGTGGGAAGAGGGTGCCTGAAGACGTCACCATTTCTTCTCCTGACCCAGTGCTCCCCCTGAGATGCATCATCTTGTGAACATACCTTTCTCAAGTCAGACTGGTGCTTTTCCATAAGCTGGAGTTTGCTGGAAAGTTCTAGAATTAGAAACAGGGGTTGCTAAATCTAAAAGCTAGTCCAGCTCATCTTGATCTATCCTCCCATCTTGTTCTAGAAGCTCCTTTATCCAGTGATGCTTTCCAAGCAGACCTTTCTTCCCAGGACCTGCGGTTTCTGAAGCTGAGGTATAGCAGCTCCAACCAGGATCTTCTAACATGAATCCCATTTAAGTTCAGTCCTAGTCAATGCCAAGCCCCAAAGTGACCCTTACCTGTGTTATTGGCCAAGACCATCAGCAAACACTCAGGCCTAACCTCAGACTGGGCTAGAAGCAAGGAGCAGACACTAGCATCAGCTTCAGCCTCAGTCCCCTCCTTCCCACACAGTATCTGGGTTAGACCCTCTCCTTTTTCCTTCTTAAATTCATCCTGGAAGACAGAAAAAAAAAAAAAGAAAAGAAAAGGCAAGAGATGAAATTACTAGTAACCTTGAACTTTATCCAAAGTCTCAGGTAAGAATTCTGATTCAAAGCCAGGCAGTGGTGGCGCATGCCTTTAATCACAGCATTTGGGAGCGAGCGGAGGCAGGTGGTCTGCAAGTGCAAGTCCCAGGACAGGCTGCAAAACTACACATAGAAACCCTGTCTCAAAAAACAAACAAACAAACAAGAATTCTGATTCAAGTCACACTATTATAACCTCCACAAGAAATCCTTTCTAGAATTCCAATTTAAAACACCAGTGCTAAATTATGTGCAACAACATAGTAAGAAAGAAATAAGACATATACAAACAGAAAATATTCTTATTCAATAATTGCCTATATATGCATACTGCTCAAATTGAATTCAAAATCCCCACCAACATATCAATGCAATAGTGAATATTTAATACTAATTAATAACTAAGAAAAATCCTTTACTTTAAGGTTACAACAGCTCTAAATGATAGGAAAAGGCCAACAAATGAAAGGAGTAGAGCGCACGCCTGTGAGTACACACAGGCGCCTCAGTGCTTCTTCCTATGTCAGCAAGCCCTGATGACAATGACATAGTGTTTTCATTGAAAGCTTGGAAGCCAGTTTAATAAAGTTCCCAGGACTTTCTTCAGGTTGCTGGCTGGCCCACAGGACCCAGGAACTCAACAGATAAACCTACATCATTTTTAGCAGCTGAATCTCAGGAACAGCACTAATTGCAGGCCCTGGCTCTGTCCTTCAGAATGTTCCCTATCCCCCACTGCCCTGAACTTACTATAGAGCCTCCCATTACAGTGGTCTCCCTTAGACAACCCAAACCAGACTTTCTCCAGTTTTGATGTCAGATGTCAGAGGAAGACATGCCTCATGGACACAACAATATTCCTGTAAGGAGAAAACTGGAGGCTCAGGCCTTTTGGAGAAGGTTCCTGTCTGGAGGCAGGTCTGATGCCCATGGTTTAGTCCAGAGGTATTCACAGTTGGAAAGGAGGCTGGGTGTTGTCCTTCTATTGAAATCTGAGGCAGGAAACCCTCCTTTATGCCAACACCAGAGAAAGTCAAGATTAGCCTTAGGCCCTGGGAGATTTCAGAGAGCAGTAGGAAAATAACTGGGCACAAATGAAGCCAGCAGGACGTGGCTAGCCTTACAGGTCCTCCACTTGGGCAAAGCACCATCCCTGGTACCATGCTTTTCAGGTTAGGGGAAAGACTACACACAATCAGTGAGTTTGGACTCTTTGTGAGGCTTTAGTTAAGATGTTTGCTTCCTGAAAGAAGAGGAGGGAAAGGTCTCCCACAAAATCTAAAGTAGCCAAACAAAATGGGACCTCCCCCATTTCTCCAGTGCTAAGAAGCTGCACTTTGACAATATTCAGCCATTCTAACATTTAGCAAGCCCTGATAGTAAAGAACTGTTAGAAAACATGTGTGGGTACTGGAGAGATGGCTCAGAGGTTAAGAGCACTGGCTGTTCTTCCAGAGATCCTGAGTTCAATCCCAGCAACCACATGGTGGCTCACAACCACCTATAATGAGATCTAATGACCTCTTCTAGCATGCAGGCATATATACACAATAAATAAATAAATCTAAACAAAAATAAAAAAGGAAAATGTGTGTGTGTGTGTGTGCGTGTGTGTGTGTCTGTCTGTCTGTCTGTCTTTCCCCTATGTGAGGATAAGGTGGAAGACAAGAGGCATCCCTATGAGTTAATTCTCAATGATCAAAACTCTTGTCTATATAAGTAGATATATGGCAGTTAAAATAAAGTCTTAGGTGCTTTTCCAATATTGACTCATTTGTCTCTCCCAATACTCTAGAAAGTGAGAACTGTAATTCTTTTATTTTGTTCATTTTATACAGAAACTGAGGCACAAAGACTATTTGCTACAAAAAATTACAACGCACTTAAGCTTGCAAAAGAGGGCAAAGATACATCTGGATTGTGTTATCAGAAATAACTCAATGTGCTCAGGTAAAACTGGCAGGGAAATGCATGGAAGCAAGAAGATGGAAAGATTCTACCTTCTCTGTTTAGCTCCATGTCCTTCAAGCTTCAACTCAAATTCCATGTCTTCCAGGAAGCCAGTCCCATCTTTGACAAACAGGACATTACTTACTGCTCTCCAAGTTTCTAAATCTTTTTTAAATCATCATCAGCTAGTCTGTGCCAGGTTCCTCAGCTCTAAACTGGTTGTCTGGTGACCACAACAGTGATGCATAAAAATATTTAATACATAAGGATTCTGATTGGTACAAAACAGCAGCTATTACTAATAATTACAGTTCTTGCTCTATTACCTAGAGATCCAAATTGTGATAATCTTCTTAACTGTTGTCATTTCCCTCTGACTAAACTGTTAGATTCCCAAGTGTCTGTGTGGTGAGGGGGAGCGTACATGTTATATAATTTTGAAATCAGACTCTACTTATTGTACTACATAAACAAAAGACTCAAGGACTTGTTCAGCCTAACACCCCAACTGGTTGGCCTCGACCTGGAGTCTCTCCACTGCCTGTTTAGTTTCTTGGATTAAATTCAAGGCAGTACAGCCTCCTACTCTGAATTTTACCAGCCTCAGTGAATTGTGTTTGGGCTGGAGAAAAGCAGGTGGATCCTGAACAAAACACAATGCTTCAGGATAAACATCCTCCCCCAAGAGACAAACATCATGAAAGAGTGGGCAGAAGGAAGCCACAGCCTCACCATTTTGTTCATGACAATCACATTTAGGAGTTTCTAACTGCATCTGTGCACACATGTTCCTTTAAAAAATATATCATCTAACCTTTCTAGGGGTGCATTCTCAAATTCTGTGATGCCTCTGGCTATGCTAAAGAAGCACATCAAGAATTGGGTTGGAGAGGAGGGTAAATGCACATTTCTAAAGTATCTTTGAGATATTTCCCAATGCTAAGTTTCTAGGATCAATTATCTCCCATTGTTTCTTTCTTTCTTGGTCAATTTGAAAGGAGTTGTAGGTTATTTGAGAAGAGGGACCTACAATTGAGAAAATGACTCCATAAAATTTATATGTCGTTAAATCTGTAGTGCATTATATGGAGGGCCCAAGTCATTGTGGGTAGTACCACACCTTGGCTGGTGGTGGTCCTAGATAGGGTAAGAAAGCAGGCTGAGCAAGCCATGAGCAGGCAAACCATTAAGCAGCACTCCTCCATGGACTCTGTGATGGTATTTTGCTATCACCACAGGTTTCTGTGTCAGTTCCTGCCTTGACTTCCAACCCTTTTCTCCCAAAGTTGCTTTTGGTCATGGTGTTTATCATGGCAATAAGAAACCCTAACTAAGGCACTCTGCAGCTACCTATTTCAAAGTAATTTTATATTCTTTGCTGCATTACATTTATCAGTGGTAAGCAAAACCTATATCTTCATTGATGAGACTATAATAAAAAAGGATTGTTGTTACAAGTCAGATAACAAGTGAGTAATGAACTAAGGGCAAGAAGTTAGATTGTCTCCAAATATTTCTTTCCAATAGGCAGTCTTCCTCCATTAGTCCTTCATCAGTAACTGATGTTTTCAGTAAGGGAACTAATCTTTAGTGTTTGGGTAGAAGGCAAAGAAGATCAGAGGCTGTATGTGATCAGAGGGTTGGAAATAGCCTGCCTCAGAGGAAGTTGGTATAATGTGTAAGTAGGTAACGTGAGTGAGCTGAGTAGATATAAACTTTGAAAATGTAATAAAAACTAACCAAACAAGTTTCATCTTCAAATTGTATGGCTATAAATAGTATATATAACAGACATGGCACTGAGTAAAGTAGTTCCAAACACTATATTTGTAGCAAAGAACTAGAGTTGATATTTTCCAGAGATACACAATGGCTAAGGAGCACATGAAAAGATTTTCAATATCACTAAGCACCAGGGATCTGTAAACAAAACCACAATGAGATAATGAGATAATCATTCGCATGCATTAGGAAGGCTGTGTATTTAAAAACCAAAGAGTGGAGGGGAGCAGGTGCTGAAAGAATGTGGAGGAACTAGGTAGGGCCCTGTATACTGTTGGCAGAAAAGTTAAATGGTGCAGCCACTATAAACAAACAAACAAACAAAAAAAACAACAACAACAAAAACAATGAGATGGACTGGAGTGTAGCTCAATGGTAGCTGTCTTATCATATGCAAAGGTCAGGATTCAATCTCCAAGAATGCAAACAAAAAATATGGTAGTTCCTCTAAAATTCAAAAATAGAATTATCACATGAGTTAACAATTCCACAGCTAGGTATTTACCTCAAAGATTTTCTATTAGGGCACCAAAAGACATGTATACATTAGTGTTCATAGCCATTTTATTCACAATAGCCAAAAACTCGAGTGTCTACCAGTAGATGAGTAGACAGACAGAATGAAACACACACATACAATGGAATATTAATCAGTCTTAATACTGAAGGACTTTGTTACAATCTACTCATATCAGTACCCAGAATACCCAAGTTCAGGGAAACAGAAAGGAGAGCAGTAGTTGCCTGGGCAGATGAGGACCATGTCATAGGAAGATACACAGAATTTTGGAGAGGTTACCTGCAACATATTCAACATTACTCAGTTTTACTTAGAAATTGTTATGATAGTGCTTTTCATGTTATGTGTATTTTGCCACAATTAAAAATGTTGGTGAATTCCCCTGCACAAATGACAATACAAGAAAATAAAGTGATCTTACATTTTAGAAACAACCTTGGGAATTATGACTATAAATGCGAAATAAGCAGATAGTGAAGCAGAGAGAATGGAAATTATACCTGAGGAGACATCCTCTAGGAGACATGCTCTACTAATAAGGGTTCTGAGATGTGGAAGCAGGCTTGAAAACATCTCTGCCATTCTTTAGCATGTATAGGATGCTCAGAAGTAATGGGTGCAGAGCAGAAGTAGAGTAAGTGGGAATCAAGTGTTACCAGATGTATGTACAGAAAGAAAATTTAAATAGTTCACATGGGGAGATCATCATGTAACTTGCAAAATGAGGGCTGGGAGGGCTGAGAGCCACATAAACAGTTCTGTTGAAACTTGAACTAGATACAGGTAGTATCAGTATCAAATGAGTTCTGCAGGATGTGTTAATAGGGAAAATCCTTCCTGTTCCTAATTTGGGCTGTGGATAGGGCCTGAAGTCTCCCACTAGTACAGTGGTTCTCAACCTTCCTAATGCTGTGACCCTTTAATACTGTCATGTTGTGGTGACCTCTCAACCATAAAATTATTTTCTTTGCTACTGCTAACTGCAATTTTGATACTATTATAAATAAGCTACATGCTTGCTTTGGTATCAGAGGGTTTTTGAAGTACTGGTTCTCTTAGTGCAGAGGCTCTCAACCTGTGAAGTGTGACTCCCCTTAGGGTTGAATGACCCTTTAGCAGGGGTTGCCTAAGACCACCGAAAAACACAGATATTTACATTATGATTCACAACAGGAGGGACTATGCCATTACAGCTTTTCCAATAGACTATCCAACTAGCAGGATTCCAAGAAAGGAATCTTGAAACCTTGGAAGACATGGATAGAAATTCTGGATCCAGGAGTCTGTCTAAGAAAAAAACTACCCCGGGGAGCACAAGGAGGCACTACTGCTTGAAGCTTGGGAGAAATGCTCCCAGGAAGAAATGGGATGGACAGTAATGGGAACACCAGGGGATGGCAGATTTTACACATGTTCTGCAGTGGCAGTCTTTGTGAACAATGTAGAAACTTCGATATAGGCTCACATGGCTCCTCTTTCCAGACTAATCACAGTTTCATCACCAATCTCAAAGGAACACACAGAGAGCTCTCTGGTCATGAATGATGTAGACTAACAGCAGAGACAACAGGTAGAATGAGCAGTTCTTTCTGGGATATCACTTGTCTTTAACAAGGACCCTGAAAACAGCAGACTAATATGAAAAATGCTCTGCAGATGTCTCTAAGCCCTGGGCATAATGAACTAGCATTCTGGCACCTGTGTGATGTTCAAATTAAATAAACAAATAAATAGATATATACTCCGTTGAGATAATAGGTAAAATTAAAAATGTGGGATGGTTTTATTTTTATCTCTAAATAATGAAGTTAAAAATTGTCACCAAACACATATTAACTTGTACTTTGTCTATTTACGTTCACCCTAAATGTTTTTGAAAACTTCATTATTTCATTCTGTAAACTTGTCTCTATGATTTCTGCCATTTTTAAATGCTCTAAGCTAAATGGTCATATTAATCTGTAGTTAAAAGATTTATAAGTCAGAGGTACCCACCTGATAGCTGTAAGAAAGAAACCAGTCATTTGAGTAACCAAAAGAAGTAAGGCATGTCCTCTACAGTCTAAAGTCTGTCCAAACCATACAGTCAGCTCAGCTGTTACCTACAAGGTTCCCTTCACTGCATTCCCATAAGAAAACATTTTAAAATAATTTTTATATAATTGTATTTTATTTGCATTGGTATGAAGGTGTTAGATCACCTGAAACCAGAATTACAGACAGTTGTGAGCTGCCATGTGGGTTCTGGGAATTGAACCTGGATCCTTTGGAAGAGCAGCCAGTGCTCTTAACCTCTGAATCCTCTCTTCAGCCCAAGAAAACATTTTACTGTAAAAGGAAACAACACTTTTTTCTTCACCTCTATCCTTACTCCAGGGCCTTATTACTGCCAGGAAACAAGATTTATTGTAACACCCAAAAATTCAGACCATGCCATAAACCTAATAAACTCTAACCAATGCAATCTGACAAGAAAGTGAAATAGGAATCACTACTTCTAAAAAGAATGAGAAAACAACACACTATAGCAGATAATTTGTTGTTCACTTTGAAAATGAAAAAGAACCAAGAATCTCCTAGAATTAGCAGATTCAAGGAAGACACAAATTTAAGAAAATTATTCATACTCCAATAATTTTCTAATATTAAGCAGTAGTAAGTTAAAATATACATTAGGATACCCTTACTAAAAATCAATCAAAGTCAAGTGAAAAATGTTGGGAATATGCCTCAGCAATGAAATACTGTCCTAGCATGTACACGGCCTTGGGTTTATTTCAAAGGGAAAAAAAATATATTGTTGTGGGGGGAGTGGGAACCAATATGGAAGCATTTTAAATTAAAAAAAAAGTCGATGAAAGATACAAAATAAGACTAGGAAAAACTGAAGGATTTCAGAAAGTTCCTATTCAAATTTGTGTGATTTTTTTGTGGGGGGGGGGAATGGTTGGAATCTTGACAGATGTCTCCAAGGATCTTCTAAAAAATGGAGTTGAAAAACACACTTTTATGGTATAATTAGGAAAGATCTGGCTTGCTGGATATTAAAAGCACTGAAATGTAAAAGCACAACAAATTTAATATGGACAAAAGCATAATCAACCTGAACAAATGAAGTATCTCTGAAGTATATGACCAGGGAATATAAAAATATAACATAAATACCAGAATAAATTCAGTGTGCATGAAAGAATTACATGCAAATAACAAAATCATTTGAATTTTAGTTGTCTGGTTAATATCTGGACAATGACAAGGATTTTCTTAACATAAAAATAAGCTTAAATCTGATAACAAATAAAATTTATTTAAAATTGGTTTTGCCTTTTATTCTAACCAGATGGGGCTTCTTGTTGTCCAAATCCAAGGCTCAGTATTAGAAATAGTCCGACCCTGCTAAGCTCCCAGACAACTAACTAAAGTGAGGCCAATCCAAGATAGCTTCAGGTGTTCAGAGTGATTGGGATTGGAATAAGAGGAATAGGGTTGAGGTAGACTTACACAGCTAGATGCTTCATTTAGTTCCAGGCAGATTCCTTGAGCCAACCGCACTTCTCGAATTCCTGAACATTTGATTTCTCCCTATATTAAAACAAAACCAAAGTAAATATGCAAGCACCCATGCCCCTCATTTCTACCCACTTCTTTTATGACAGGGTACTCTCTTAAAAAGTTTAGGAAAAAAGGAAATTTTAAAATTCTTAGGGCTTGGGATTTACATTATTTATTTAACTACTTTTTTTTTTCTTTCTTTCTTTTTGAGATAATGTCTTACTCTATAGCTCAGGCTGGACCAGAATTCACTATGTAGCTTTGTAATCTGGGCTGCTCTCAGCTCGAATTGTCCTGCTTCAGCCTTTTGTTTGCTGTGATTTCAGACATGCCCAGTGAGATTTGCAGTAAAAATTGAGCACCCTTAATCAAAAAAATTAGAATAAAAAATGTTTGAAAAATCTAAAACTTTCTGATCTCCAATATAATGTTGCAAGCGGGAAATATATACTACAAACTTTTGAGTGCATACAATTATTGAAAAGTATGATATAAAATGACCTTTAAATTATATGCATATGGTACATATGAAGTACAGATGAGTTCTATGTTTTGGATTGGTCTTATCCTCAAGATCTCTAGTTATATATTCTAAAATCAAATTAAATATGCTAAAATAAAAACCTGAACCCAAGATTTTCAGATTAACGGTACCCAGTGAGTAGTTACATTGTTTGTTCCCATCTCAATAACTTCCCCAAGGAGAGAATAAACCCTTTTGTTGTAATCCTGGACCAGAAGCAAAGATGTTATTTGAAATTATGGTAAATCTGGCTTGGGTGATGCTTAAAGGGGAAAAAAATTATTTTGTTGTTTTTTTCCTTCAGTCAGTTACACACAGACAACAGGTAGTCAGGCAACTGTTGGTGACACCTATTTTCCTCCTGGCCCCTAGGAGTCTCTGCATTCACTTACTACTCTTTAAAAACAAACAAACAAACAAACAACTTGGCCCCTCATGCCTGTCCTTAGGTCTTCATATTTCCTGCCCTTCAATCTGAATGCTGTTGACTGCCACAGGCTCAAGGTCAGATGAAATTCACCATCCCTATATGTCCAGTTCTCATCTCTGCAGATGACATTCTCACTGTGTTCTGTGCTTCACTAAGCCCTCCCATATGTCAGAAACACTTTGCCCTACACATTTAAGAAAGGCAACCCCAGTACACAGGGGACAGATCCAAATATTCCCAAAAGGAAATGGTAACTCTGAAGAACCATAGAACTAGAAGGATCTCTGAGAATCTCCCCAAAATGCAAAACCCAAAGCACAGACCAGACTGATCTGTCTCCTCCTTATCTTCCTCCTGTCCAATCTTTCTACCAATATATAAAGTACATATTCCTTGTTCATTCCAAGATTAACCAAATCTCATTGGCTGGTATAAACAGAGGGATAGAGAATGAGACATAATCTGCCATTTTGGACCCAACTCACTCACCTTGATGGTAACTGGGGCAGTAGAAGATGATGTGTATGCATATGGTTCAGTGGTTGGTGTCATCTCAGAACTGATATTATTAGTTGAGTGATCAGAAACATTTACAGATGGCATGCTAGGCTTCCAGGTCATCTCTGAGGTGGAAGCATTGTCTGAAGTGGTGGGATCAGTGACGGTTGGGGACGTCTGGGATTGCACAAAAGTTTGTGTGGTTCCAGAGCCTGAAGGAATCCCAGAGGTAGCGGTAAAGTTGACAGTTGTCTCTGGAATACACAAAAACATGCAGTCTCACTTGTGGTGCTAGCATAGATTTCTGCACAGAATCAGTGAGGTCACAATTACCTCACATCTTTTTTTTTTTTTTTTTTTTTTTTCCTTTTCCCGGAGACATGGTTTCTCTGTGTTGCTTTGGAGCCTATCCTGGAACTAGCTCTGTAGACCAGGCTGGACTCAAACTCTCAGAGATGCACCTGTCTGCCTCCCGAGTGCTGGGTTTAAAGGCATGCACCACCAGTGCCCAGCTTACTTCACATCTTAACCCTGACCCAATTCATTTCCAGCTAGCTGATAAAACCATAGCCATAATATAAAACAAGAATTTCCAACCTTTTAACATTGTAACACATTGTCATCTAAAAATATATTGGACCTCCCTCAGAGCTAACCTGAGATACATGAGGCCTTCAGATATCAGATTTGACATACATGATCTAGAATGTATCAAAGGTGCCCTCCTATTCTCAAAGTGAAAATGATTCTATCCTACAGAAGTAAAAGACATACAATTTGAACCCAGACATCTTCCATCATTTAGAAGAGAACAGACTCCATCCATGGAATCCAACCTGATCCTTTCTTTTACCTGTCTTTTACCAGCCAAACTTAGCATAAATACAAGAATCAGTCCTCTCAGGACCCACTTGTCATGTATGGCCTACAAATGTTGCCAGAATAGAGGAAGCCATTTAGAACTTATTTATGAGTACCTTTGCATGAAGTATTGGTTTCTGTGACCCCCATCTGTGGTCTATAGGCTATAATAGCTGAGTACTTCTGGTTACCTGAGATAGCTGGTGTGGTCTCATTGCTGTCCTGAGGGAGGAAGCTGGTACTTCCAGGGATGCTAGGTATGGTAGTTTTCTCATCGGACTCATTTGTAGGAATTGATGGAGATATTCCTGGAGTAATCTCCATGGCAACAGAGGTCAAACTGTTTAGATCTGTGGGCCCAGAGGTTACATGGAAATAAGGAAAAGTCAGAACCCAACCTTGGAACCTCATGACAATACCTGCTTCGAATTCTTGACTTTGGGTGAATCTGCCTGGAACATTTCTGCTTCCCCTGACAATGACGAAACATTAATACTCCTGGATATCAGACTAGTTTCCTATACTAGGTTTTCCCTAAGGAAAGATACTAAACATTTATAAAAAATAGGAATGTCACAAATAATTAAAAATTGTAACAACACAGAAGACAATGTTTGTAATATATTTAGCAAAATACCAAGATAAAACATTTCACATATTTAAACAAAGAAGGATTGAAAATATGAGAGAGGCTAGCTCCCTTTGATTACACACTTCTCTTTTTTTGATCAATCTCTACCCAATATACTAATTATTGAAAATAATCTAGAGTCATACTTTCTCTATAAAAATTCCCTTAAATAATTTTTCATTCTCAGTCTTGCTTTTTCAAAGTTCAGGACCTTCAAACCCATTGTTTCTTTTAGATGAAGAACTCAATTACAGTGAGCAAGCAGGCGACTTCTTTCAGGAACCTGTAAGCTGAAACTCTTCTTGATGGGACTAGAGAACTAAGGTCTAGTTTTCCATCTTTTCTCATAGAAGGAAGGAAGACAGAGCTTTGTCTGGCTTTGCTAGGACTATATATTTTCATGCATGTGTACTTCAGTTAATAATCCCTAAATATAGGTTGTTTGCCTATTTTTACATGAATTGTCAGGAAAATCAAACTAATAAAGTAGAATAACTCTTGGTCTATTCATTCTCTGAATACCCTTATGAGTGCACTTGCCCCCATTATTCTATATATCTTTAAGACTCAGGAAGGAGAACCTTGACCTTGTATCTTATGGGTCCCAAGCCTGTTCTACCTCCTGTATGACCCAACCAGGATGGCCCTCATTTCTAGATGACACTTTGAAGATTACAATTCTTTATATAGCTTTTTCAAATAGCTCTTTACTCAGATCCAAACCAATATTAATCTATGATGGCTCATCCATCTAGAGGTGAACTGCAGCACTACACTGTGTGTCTCCTAGGTCCAGGAATGACCATTTAAAAGGAGAAGAGTTATCATATGGGTATACTAGTGTTCTATGTGTATATGCAAGATCCTTCACACTATGGTCCTGAGTCACATGAAGGAAGAAAGTAAGGGAGTGATCTGGAGTCAGAATTGTGGGTAGGAAAAAAGGGAAGTAAGCTGGGTCCTGGTCTTATCTTGTCCTGATCAGCCACATAAAGACTGAATTCCAAAAGTGTTAATGTAAATTCAAAGTTAACTTTCTTAGTGACTGAGAATGTGTTTGGTTAAGTTATGGGGATGAAGCTGTTTAGTTTATAAGTTGGCCTCGGCTACCAATATGAAATTCAAACAGACAGGGTAAGGGCCTCTTTGTGCATTGGCCAGGGATAGACTCAGGCTCCATAGCTCACAACTGTAATACCATCTGCAAGGAAAGGTCCTAGGGCTCTAGTACACTGTGAAGTACAACTCTAAATTTTCCTGATTGAAATCTAGCTCTGTAATTTTTCCATTTTATAAGGTCAACAATAATGTAAACAGATTGAACTGCCATCAACATCAAGAGGGAAGGTAGACTTTTAGCTTCTAGTCAACCCAAGGCCAAGAATGTTTTGCATAAGGTGCTAGTCAGGGTCTCAACTCCTACTTCCTCCTTCTTCCCAATAGTAACAAGTAGACTATATTAATATTGACCACATTATTATGTGACAGGTAAATAGGGAAATAAATAATATTACTATTCATTCCAGAAATGAGAAACTTATGTCATAAAGTTGTCGATAAGGGAAAGCATAGACCATGTGATCAAGCAGCAAAGAACATGGTCTTGCTGACTCTGGTAGATGTTAAGGATCTAGATACAGCCTCAAAGCCTTTGTAAACAACAAGATGTGTGTGTTCCTATGTCATCTAGATATTGAAGCCAACTAAGCTACTTCCTTAAGATAGGACCTCCACCAATTTGACCTTAAGACATGAATTTATTACAGGGGCAAGTTGTGGTAGCATTCAGATACTGAATTAAAGGAATCATACTTTCAATGTACCATTCTGAGATATTCTTTAAATCCCCTTTTGAAACCCTTCTTTCTGTCCACACCCTCCTTGCTCTACCCAAACACATCAATTCCTAGGAATCCCATCTGGTCTAGGTTGGCCCAGCCCTTCTCTTTCTTCAAAGGAGCTGGGTCTGGCTGAAATGATGTCATGCTTTTGAACCCCTCCCCCAAGGGGCCTCTTTCATCCAGACAAACATTTTTGAACTTTTCCAGATGTGAAGAGAGAGACCTGTTGCTAGTTCTGAAGACAGAGGTGCCTGTTCCAGAACAGTGAATCAACTCCAGATCCAAGCCAGCTATGGGCCTACTGGGGATGGGCTCCCAGTTATAGCAGTCCCATCCCCACCCTCTACTCTTTGGCCAGATTGAAAATGAAAAGAGGACTCAACCTCAGATGTATAGCTCCAAACCTAGGGTAGACTACAAAGCTGATGAGACTATAGAACATGGCAAAGAACAGGGTTAAAAGACAAGGGTAAATGAAGGGCTAACAGAAGAACTAGCATAGGTCAGGAGCCACTCCCAACTTACAGCACAGGTCCTTCTGTGAGTTTACCCCTGGGCCTCAGCAGAACTAGTTTTGCAAAACTAGAGGGTCACAAAGTAAGACTTGCAATGTGTCTCTTTGTTCTCTCTTTCTACATATATCCACTACATTAACCATCAAATCTGGCCTTTCTCTGAACTTCTGATTCCCATTCTAGAAAGGAATAATGAGCAGCCTACACTCACTGAAGGCCTTTCAGGTGCCGAAAAGCTAAGGAAATCTTTCTTTCATTCAATAAGGGCATGAGGAAGAGCCCTTTCTCACCCATCAGGAAAGATAGTATAACTCAGAACTAAGTAAAACACTGATCCTGAATGTATTCCTAGTCTGACCTATGCCATTTCAAAGACTCTACTTGACTAGTTGTTCTAATAGATATGTATCTATGTCTACCACATGTATGTCAAAGGGGACCAGAAGGAAAGGGTTGGATGCCCTGGAACTTGAGATACAGATGGTTGTAGATTAGCAATTGAGTGTAGGGAACCAAACCTGCATCCTCCACAATATCAGCAAATGCTCTTAACCACTGTTTCATCATTTCAGCTTCTATCGATCTATTCAACAAACTTAGTACAAGACAGGAGACAAATAGGAAGTTATTAAATGAGAATCTTAAGACACCAACAGATGTAGTAGACTTTATATGGTAAAATTCATTCACTGACCTTACAAGTACTTACTTAGAAGCAATTATTTCCACATACAGTATTAATAAGCCTGGTTACCTTGATATTCCAGTCAAAGTTGAAAATTAGATACAAATAGGGGAAAGCAACAACTGAAAACTAAGAAACTGAAATTTCTAAATTAAAAACAGATCTAAGTATCAAACCCATACTAGCCTGGAGTCATTTATAGTCACATTAAACAGAAATAAATCCTTTGATATGTATTAATCATGCCAATGACTGCAACAAAGTCACCTTATTTTCATGATCCATTTGAGTCACAAAAGTTGAAGTCTTAGGGTAGTGGCTATTCTGAAGAAGCAGAGGCATATGCAAAACATGTACTTAACACTAGTAAACTGGAGATTCAGTTTTTGTAAAAAATGTTACATATTCTAAGATATTCAGGAAGTCATTACCTACATAACCAAGTTTCCATATGTTCTTGGTCAAATTTTTTAGATATCCTTATCTTTAGAGTTTTGGGGGTGTGTTTGTTTGTTTTTCTATTTGTTATAGATAGTGTTTCATATAGCTCAGGCTAAATGACACTTTGTATAACTCACTTTAGCTCAGGATGATGTTAAACTCCTGTTCTTCCTGCCTATGACTCCTGAGTTTTGAGGATACTGGTGTGCACCACCACACCAATTAGTTTTAGTTTTTTTGGGTTTTGTTTGTTTATTTGTTTGTTTGTTTTCTAATGCTGTTTTCTAATCACATCCTCAGCCAGCACCTAACTGTCCAGCCTTTCTGGATATATCTTAGGTAAAGTCACATCCTTGAGAGGTGAGCCATTGGGCCACTGATTTGAAGGCAGAACTACCCAGAGACACAGAGGCTAAGCTTTGCAGATAGGGACTGTAGGTTCTTCTTTCTCTCGTGTGTTCAAGCTGTGTGGCCCCATGGCCACTGCAGCTTTCAAACTTCTCCAGTAAAATGGGATCAAAGTAGGCCCTGCCTCCTGGTTGTTCATTAAAACAAAGAAGGTAAGGAAATACAAAGCAGTCAGACTGTCTGGTCCATGAAAAGGCTCTTCCTTCTGCTTTTCCAGATCAGTACTTATCTCTACCACTCATCTGGCACAAAGTCACACAAGTTGCTTCCTCAGGAGAGGTTTAACTGTCACCTCACTTAAGTCATAAATTTTTTGAATGTCAAGACCCTTTCTTTCTTTCTTTCTTTCTTTTTTCACATATGTGTGTTTTACTCAATAAGCTTGGCAGATCCTGGGGCATTAGGATAGGCAATTGGGTTGAGCTGTACTGCTCACACTCACCACCTATAGCTTTCTAGTCTTATTCTGATGCTGTGTGGTTTATTGTTATTGTGTGTGAAAAAGAAAGATAGTGGGGAATGATAAAGGTGTGAGACATAGCACATGCAGATGTCAGAGGACAACTTGCAGTCATTTCTGTCCTACCATCCAGGTTCTGGGGATCAAACATGGGTCTTCAAACTCCCATGGCAAGCACTTTTACCTTCTGAGCCCTCTTGCTGACCCTAATGCTCTATATAGAGGAAGTTTATTAAATTAGGGAGTGACTGAGCTAAAGATATCTAGTTTCTCCATATAATGAGGAAAATTCTACAGTCCAAGTCACCCTGCTAAAGACCTGATTTTATTTCATCCACGTCATGAGTTGTCAAACTATGGCTCAAACTA